ACAAATAATAAAATAGAACATTAAAATCGAGATGTGTCTCGCTGCATTGCGCGAGTACTCTTCTAATATATTTTAATAAAAAAAACATTATAAGACCGTAAGTATCTTTTAATCCGTTAAGAACAAGTGACAAAAATTGTAAGTATCTTTTTATTATCATCAAATGAATTTTATAATATTTTTTTCATGTAACTAAATATTAATGCTGAAGTATTTTCGTAATTTAGCCAAAAATGAATCCAAGAATCTGTTCATCGATAATATCAGTGATAGTTCCGAGTATCTTGTTGAGCTTTATACATACACCGAAGTCCTTTTGTTGGTTTTCCGGTACATTGTTTGTAGCAATATATGATAGTGATATTGTAATAAATCATATATATGATTCTATACGGCACACCTGTAATGATCCGGAGCTACTTACGATTAAATATGGAATACAAACTATTGTATTATTTAATCATAATTTTTATATTGAATAATAATCAAACGTTTGTGTGTTTTCTTTTTATAAATTGAAGAAGGTGGTATTTATCTGGAATATATAATTTTTATATAAATGTTTGATTATTTATCATTTCAGATGTCTTCCAGCAACATCGTAAGAAAACATATGTTGGTTGTTACAAACTTAGAGTTTCACGGAAAAAATCAAAATTATGTCATACATTATCTCATTCTTGTAGCAGACAAAACCTAAAATATTGTTCTTTTGGCAATTATGCCAACACCTTTCGATATCAATCACGCCATAATCTTATTGCTTGCCGCTCACATCTACCTTTTTTGCACCAGATAGTGACGAATATCAACAAGAAGAAGAATGCTAAAAGTTTACTTTCAAAGAACTTGAATTATGATCGTGTCTTTACAAGGAAAAACATTAACAAACATAGAACCTGTACCCTGTATCAACCATATGATCTAAAACTACGATAGAGAACATAGAACCTGTACCCTGTATCAACCATATGATCTAAAACTACGATAGAGAATTAGCCAACCAACCATGTGTTGACACGTGGATTTAGCTAAATGCCTCTGCCAACTTTCCGCAATTTGTGACATTTTGAATTTTCAGGATATATGACCTATTTAATTTTTGTACTTATTTGGCATACCAACCAATAAAAAGTGGATTTTGTCAACTGATGGATTCACTTTAACCGAATTCCTAGTTAATTTTTAAACCTTTAAAAATGGTTATTTTCTTATTTTTCTTGCCATAAACAACTAGTTTGATGGAAAATCTTACATTTTTTTTATTACTATTATAGCTTCCCAAAATCCCACAATACATGTTATAATATCTTCAAGATATTCAACAAAGATTTATGATTTTTTTTTTTTGTTTTCGAATATATGTGCTTGAATCCCACTAGCTAAGCGGTGTTATAACCTTAAGGGGTTTGTTTCAGCGTGATGTCTTAGGAAATAGGGTTTGTATTTTAATTTTATTAAAGAATATCAATCTATTATAATTACGTTTGATAGTTAATTAAACTGTCTAAAATTTACCTTAACCATATGAAGTGGACATTTTGTACGGATCTTGTATGCTAGTTGAATTGAAGGTTGTGGTCTATCATTTTTTTTTCCAAATAGGATAAGAACATTTTTATAAAACAAAACTACTTCATGAAACACATCAACTAAGGAAGTTGTTTTTATTAAAAGTATATATTATTTATATACGACAAATATAACAAATAAACTCATACATTTGGTAAGATTTGAACTCCTGACATGAAAACAAATGAATATAATATTTGATCTTCCTCAATGTTAGAATTATTCATATCAAAACGTTTGTAGTCTATGAACATATGCATTTTGGTATTTTAAAACGGAAGTATGAAAATATGATTTTCTCAAATGGGTATAGGATTTGAATGTAAGTTAGAATCATTTGTCGAATGAAAAATACATTCGTTCATATAGAGGGTGATGATATATTTAGTGTTTTTTTTTGTATTTCGATAAGAATCAACTTGTAATAAAATTATAAATACAATATTTTGTTATGAGACAAGCTTTTATTTTAAGTCATTGTCAATAAACCCAATAAGCTATAAAAAAAATTTAATTGTATGACATTTATGTTGTATAAGTAATATTATAATTAAGAATAAAAACAACAATCAAGTTTAATCTATATATGCATCCTAAAAGGACATTTGTCTTATATTTTACTCTATTTTTCTTCTCATTCTAAGTAATAAATAATAATAATATTTAGAACATCCTACACAGTTATTGTGATTAATCATAGTTTTTTTTTTTTTTTTTATCAAGGTTTTACATCAAAAAGACATTGGTGTATGTGGCTTTTCGTGACGGTCTTGTAAACAACATGTTCAAAAATGTTATACCATACAAACTTCAAATAACATATCTGGTATAACGTATGAAATCATGATCTAAACCAAAGCAATACAACCAATATAGCATTTCGTTCTCGAAAGTAAGGTTTAGGGGAAGGTTGGATGGATCATACGTTTCCTAAGGGTATACATAACGTCACGTAACCTAAAATAAACTCAAACCAGCCTAAAATCATGATGAAAATTATTAACAATCAATAATTTATATAAATTTTAAATACATGCTTAATAATGTAGTAGAAAATGATAAGGCCAAGATTGTACTATTATCAATTAAAAATAAACTAAAAAAAAATTAAAACACCTCTCACTCTTGTACCTTCGTACGAAATGCATGGACCATCTTGGTGAGAGAGATTGACGTTTATGGGCTAAGCACAAAAGATTATTAAATGAGTAACTTAATTGTCTTTATCGAATAGTAGAAGGACCCAATATGTAACTTATCCAAACTCAAATATTCCCACAATAATTAACTCAGATCGGAACGGCACTACAACTGACAAATGGTTTCTATAAAACCCGCCACATAAATCCTCCATGTTCTCTCTCCGTCCTCCTCCCAACGCCCTACATTACACACACTCAAACCACCGAACCAACTTCACCATCGCCAGTCACCGATCAATCAACCACCGCCGTCAGGGACCACCATCGTCGATCTCGTCTCCACCGGTTCCTCAATTGACATCATCATCCACCGTTTTGACGAGTAAGAAGAAGATCATGGAGAATACGATTGATAATAGCTACATTGTCGGCACTTTCTTCGCTTCTTTTTTAGGTTTTGTTCTTCTTTCAGTTCTACGGCGCCGTACCAGCAACTCAATCTCCCACTCTAAGAAGATTACTTCTGGCAATAACACCACTGCTAGAAATCGGAGCGACCCGACCCGTGGAGAATTTCGTCCCCGATTAGGATCTGCAGACGCCGATGTAATAATCGTCGGAGCTGGTGTCTCTGGTGCCGCCCTTGCTTATACCCTTGGCAAGGTTAGATTCGATCGGTGTTTACTTTATTGAATATTAATTTTTGTTTTTCCATCGCTATATGTTTCTTCGCTGATGATGACATGGCACATGTGTCTTGATGTGATTCAGGAGATGGTTCTTCATTTTAATATTTGTTTTGGATGTGGTGGAATGAGGGGAGAAATTTTGTTTTACCATTTAATGTCATTTATTTAGCTTCATTGAAATATCCGTGATACTTCCGAAGAATAATTTCCGATACAAAAGTTGATTAATGGTTGCATGCAATTCGTCATTGGATAAGTTCTTAACAGGACAAATTTTTCCGTCAGCCGAATGTGATGCTCTTGGATTATGTTGTTCGAATCTTGGTGAATTCGACAAGGCTGAGAAAAGTGTTACTGAATCAATCTCTTCTTAAACTAATAAGTTTGGACATAATTGATATCATCAAGCTGGTCATTTCTGTAGGATCCAACCATAGACATTGATACATTATTTTAGATTTGGAGAACAGACAGGATAAAATGATACATATTATGACTATGGATAACTGGATACCAAGGTTTTCTATCTTTGAACTAGAGCTGATCTGAAATCAACTATGTATTCGAAAAATGATATATTTAATTAAGTTTGTAGCATTTTGATAGTAAAATAATAGAATGAATAGTTTTATAAGTAATCCATCTTTCAACTGGTTATAACAGGACGGACGTAAAGTTCGTGTGATTGAGAGAGACTTATCAGAGCCAGACAGGATTGTAGGTGAACTGCTACAACCAGGCGGATACCTTAAGCTAATTGAGTTGGGGCTCGAAGGTAGATGTTCTAGTTATCATTCATCTATAGCTAGATAAAGTTATTGAAATGATATAATTTCTTGAACTGGGTTTACAATACCATTTGAGTTTGGTCTGCAAAATCTTTATTTTGGTTTCAATGATCTGTTATTGAGATGATGCAGACTGTGTGGAGGATATAGATGCCCAAAGAATTCTTGGATATGCTCTTTTTAAGGATGGAAAGAGCACTAGATTGCCTTATCCCTTGGAGAAATTTCATTCAGATGTATCTGGTCGAAGCTTTCACAATGGACGCTTTGTGCAGAAGATGCGAGAGAAAGCTGCTACTCTCCCTAAGTTAGTACTAGATGTTTGTGCTTTGGCTTTCCTTTTGCTATTCGCGGATCTTGGTGCTAAACTAGTAATCTGGCATTAATTTTTCTTGAAATATCTTGTTTTCTTTATATGAGTATTTTCAATAAATTTTCAGGGTAACACTGGAGCAAGGCACTGTTACATCCCTTCTTGAAGATGAAGGAACTATAAGAGGCGTTCAATATAAAACTAAATCTGGTGATGTAGTGAAAGCATTTGCACCTCTTACAATCGTGTGTGATGGTTGTTTCTCTAATCTGCGCCGTTCTCTTTGCAAACCACAGGTACACTATAGAATGGTTGAACAGTATTTCCATTGTGTGTTTTTACTCAGCTTCAAATTAGTGCCTTTAGACCATCTCCAACCACAAAACCCAAAAAAAGCACTTAATTGGTTGGCCCAATAACACCAAAAAAAATTAACTCCCACCACACTAGTTTGAACAGGAAAACAGTATATGTGCCGTTTCTCTCCCATTTTGCCTGCTGGTGGGAGCTTCCAAACGGGCAAACTGGTGTTTTTGCATTACAGCTGGAGATGCCCTAAGATGTAGGAAGTAGATGTTTCACTGGTGAGTTTTGGTCAATGAGATACCTGTATCCTTGTGACTGCAGGTTGATGTTCCCTCCTGCTTTGTGGGTCTGGTTTTGGAGAACTGTGAACTTCCATATCCAAATCATGGGCATGTCATCTTAGCTGATCCTTCGCCCATCCTATTTTATCCAATTAGCGGCACCGAAGTTCGTTGTTTGGTTGATATTCCTGGTCAAAAGCTTCCTGCTCTTGCTAATGGGGATATGGCAAAGTATATGAAGACCAATGTGGCTCCTCAGGTTCCAGCTGAACTGCATGATGCTTTTGTAGCTGCTATTGATAAAGGGAATATAAGAACAATGCCAAACATGAGCATGCCGACTGCTCCTGTTCCTACACGTGGAGCCCTTTTGTTGGGCGATGCCTTCAACATGCGCCATCCTTTGACTGGTGGAGGGATGACCGTTGCACTCTCTGACATTGTTGTGTTACAACACCTTCTTAAGCCCTTGCGTGATTTCACTGATGCAGATTCACTTCCCAAATATCTAGAATCATTCCACACCTTACGTAAGGCAAGCATTTAGTGTTTTTCGTCTAATTGTATTAATAAAACTGTGGCTAGACTGAGTGATAGACAGGACAACCATTTACCTAAGGGTGTCTTTGGTACACACAAAAGACTGGATGGGACATGATTGAACGTGCGAGAATGAGATAGGTGGATAAAAGAATTGTAGAAGGTTTTATGGTTTTAATTTGACTTGTTAGTTTAGTAATTTACCAATCTTATCCCATTTCCTAGATGTTTGTTTTGGGAGGACTAAAAAAATGTATTTTTATCCCGCCTAGTCTCTGTCCTATCCCCGTTTATTTCCCACCGAACATGGGACGACATGTTTTTGTTCAGTCATATGTCCTGAAACGCATAAAGAACAAGGTCAGGAAAGTACCTTCTTTTAATAGAGTTGAAAGGTTGAAAAGAGGTGGTATACTTACCAGAAGAGCCTTTTTTATGCAGCCAGTGGCATCTACCATAAATACATTAGCTGGGGCTTTGTACAAGGTTTTTTGTGCTTCTCCTGACGAAGCAATGAAGGAAATGCGGGAAGCTTGCTTCGACTATTTGAGGCTTGGTGGTGGTTGTGCAACAGGACCTATTGGTCTACTCTCTGGGCTAAACCCGAATCCAGTGAGTTTAGTTTTTCATTTCTTTGCAGTGGCTGTATATGGCGTCGGTCGGCTTCTACTGCCTATACCCTCCCCGAAGCGCTTATGGATCGGAGTTAGATTGATTCTGGTGAGCAATCAAGATTCTCATTTGTTAACCTGTTTTAGTCTGACATAGTGAGTTAAGAAGAAGGTGGTTTTATTACAGGGTGCATCAGGAATCATTATTCCTATCATAAAAGGTGAAGGAGTGAGGCAAATGTTCTTTCCTGCTACTGTACCTGCTTATTACAGAAACAAGGTTTCACAATGACATTGGGAGAGTTTGTCTGTAGCTGCCATCTTAGAGGAATAGAAACCATGTACATTTTTATCTACTCTTTTCAATGTCTGGGAGTGTATTTGATTCCCTGTTTTAGTGTCAACTTGTAGTAAGAAATGTAGAATTGGTTGGATTAAAAAGAAAATGATTTTGAAACTATATATAATTCAGCTGCATTTTGTACATGGCTTTTGCCAAACTGTTGTCGCACGTTTGGTTTCGTTTGCTTTGACGGGTTTGGAATGAAATGGAATTTCGTTTTTTATAAATAATTTATAAAAACAAATTATAAATAATTAAGTTATCTTTTTATTAATTAATTATTAGAAAATAAATTAACACGTTTTAAGACATTATTATATACAAATCCCACGAAATCCTGTAAAATTTCAACCACCCCTGAGTGATTTCAAAATCTTGTGTTTGAGGGATTTGAACAGAATCTCAGGGGGTGTTTGGTTCGACGAAAACCGATGGAATTGAAATGGTCAACGGAAATTCCATTCCAACGTTTGGTTACCCATGAAATGGAATTGAATTCCAAACATTCTTCCAGTTGACGATTTCACTGTTCCTTCGTAAAGGTGATGAATTAAAATCCATTCTATTTAAAATTGACAAAATACCCTCATTAGAATTTTACTTCCTTTTGAAAAATTCCTGATTTCATCTCTTTTCTTTCCAAGTTGTTGGTTTGACCATCAGAATCCGCTATGAAACTCTATTTTCAATCGCATTTGCAGAGCATTTATATCCACTAAACAACAATAAATTATTCGTCTTCTTCTTCTAGGTTTCATCCATCATGCTTCCGTGGCTTCTCTGGCTCCGGTTCTTTAGATCCTCCAACCCGATTTCTTGTGGTTTCAACAAACCCAACTGTAAAAAGCTCCCATTTGGTGATGGTTTCGGGTTGGATTGACAGTAGCTCCTGGTTCGGATATGTGGTTGAAACGACAGGATTTGACCTCGTAAAAACCCCTCTTCGGCGGTGCACATTTGCTTTTTCGGCAAATTAAAACCGCGCCATTGAAATCAAAGTCTTCTTTTTCTTGGTGTTTGGTCGGAAAATTGTTTTCCGGGATGATTAGTTGTAGGTTTTCCGGTGGCCAGATCAAACAGAGATAAAAGCTTCTTTACCGTCATAAAAAACTTAAAAAAATATCAAAGAAAGGGTATTTTTGTCCATTTTCATCATTCCATTCCAATTCTATTGCAAACCAAATAGGCAGATTCCAATTTATTAAACAGATTGCATTTCATTCCTGTCAACCAAACACTTAGTCAAATCTGATAACATTTCATTTCAATTCCTTCCAGATTCCATTCGTTCATAAATCATTTTGCCAACCAAACACCCCCTTAGGATTTCAAATCCAGACAATCCCGCATACTAAACACCGGATTACAAATGATTTGAAAATTGAAATCCAAATCCTCCAATTTCATTGCATTGCTGTAAACCAAATGAAATCTTAGTATTTATTTCAGGAGGCGTGGATTAGGTGGTCTCTAAATTTTCAACAGTTTCACCCTCCCCTCTAATTATAACCAATGTATGATCCATAAGTATGTAAAAACATTTTAATTTTATACACCACTTTGAAGGCATCTTTAAGGTAGATCAAAGTCCCGTAAAATTCTTTGATATGTTTTTAGTCGAACTACACTGTTCGAGGCATCTTTTTAAGTTTTTTTTGTTGATATCAAACAACTTTCTTTGGTTTTTTGGTTAATTTCGATAGCCTTTTTCGGTTTGTTGGTTGATTTTAAGAGATCTTTTTGGGTTTTTGGTTGAAGCTACATGTATTTTTCGGAGCACCCTTCAAAGTTTAACGAATGCACCGTTCATATCCTAAAAAAATTCTAATCACGAAAATAAGTAGAACGAGTGTATGGCACCGTTTGAGACTTAATAAATACGCTCATGATTCCATGCATAACATTTTATATCAAGGTCGAATTATTATGTTAGACAGGCTAAGGTCCCAATTATAATTTTATAAAATTCACTAAGGGGCTGTTTTACCAAATGTTTATCCGGATAAACGCCTACCAAGTTACATTACAAGTTTGGATGAATATGGTAAGAACCAAGAATCTTATCCGGTAGGAGCAAGACAATGACCAAGAGTTTTACCCGGTAATCAAGTGTAACGGCTCTTACCACGATAAGCGCTTACCGGGTAAATTGTTGCATGCAATGGGTAAGATTCTTACCCATTAGGTAAATAATAGTGTTAATTTTATCAGTAAACACTTACCGAGTAAGTATCCGGTAAAAGGCTCCTAAAACTGTGTTCTCAAATTTGGGGAGAAAATAAATGGAAGGAAAAGGAAGGGATAAAAAAGAAGTTTTTTTTTATTTGTGTTCTTGAAATGGAAAGAAGGAAATAAAAGGAATATAGTTTTTCATGGTCTTGTACTAGAGATAAAGAGAATCAAAAATGTCATTTTTACTAATATACCCTTTAAAATATTATGTTTTAAAATGAAAGATTAGATAGTTTTATCATTTTAATAAAAAAATTTAAAGAGCTTTGATTTATTTATTTTTCCTTCCTTTTCATCTCACATTTGGAAGAAAAGTTTTGGGTGGAAACTTATCATTATTTTCTTTTTTTCTTTATTTTCCTTTTTCTTGTATAAGAGTTTCAAAAACATGATTTTTTTTTTTACTTTACTTCCCTTTTCTTCATTTCCTTCATAAAAAGTTTCGAGAACACATCGTAAGATTGACATCATTCTAGTTCATCGACATAATTATTATAAGTCTTAGAAACTTACGTAAGTGAAGTCGGAATAAAAATCATGAACAAAATACGTGAGGGGTACTATAGTAATCGTAAATTTGTGCATTAAGGGTATTTTAGTAATTCTCATCGTATCAATATGATTAAAAACCACAAAACTGCCATTATTATTGTTGGGAGACAATTTAGAAATTTACAAATTTAAATACTAAGCAATAATTAAATTAAGTAACTAAATCAACATTTATGTAATAACTAAAAACAAATTAATTGATTAAATAACCCTTCATTAAATAAAAATATTATTTGATAAAAATACAAAAGAAATTAACTGAAAATGAGTATGGGCTTCAAATTTTCTTTAGGTCCACATGGTCATACAGCAGCAGCAGCAGTCTAGTTAGCACTTGGCCACCAGCCATGTGGGTCGGCCCACTACACAGTCCAGAACCGAAACAAAGACCCGGGTTGACCCGATTCGATCACTAGCAGCCCCATATCTTATTCGGGTCAGTTGCACATGGTTTTTTTCTTCACCAAATTACATCATTCTTTTCACAGTAATTCGTAGATATTAACTTATATTATTATTAGGCAAACAAATCAATGTCTAAATCCAAATATACAACTTAAAATTAGAGTTTTTTTTTTTTTTTTTGAAGTATATAATATTTATATACGGTAAATAAAACAAATAAACTTACACACCCTCCTCACCTTTGGTGAGGTTTGAACCCTTGACCTCCTAGAAGACCATGGACTCACATACCGCTAGACTAAAAACCTTTTGGTAATTAGAGTTTTTCTTCACGATTTCGTTCAACCATTGTTATTGCAACAGTTTTTAATAAAAATTAGAGCATTTGTATTGGGGTTTTGGTGAGGTCCACAGACCGGTTCATAATTTTGAGTCATCGAGGAGGAGCGGTCCTCTCCACATGGACGTGGAGAGGTTCATACAGAGGAACCGCTTCTTCCTCTCTCTTTTTGGGCCCCACTTATATTAAAATAATGATAATTAAATTAAAATGTTTTTTTTATTGTATATTGACCATAAACTAAATTAGTTTGATTATTAATAAATTTATAACTTTTATTTTGTGTTTAACAATTTTTTTTTTTAATTTTGAGTTATTGTTTTTTAATTATAATAAGTAAATTTAATTTTTATGATTTTTCTTATTAATGTAGCTTTTATTTCCGTAATAGATAACTTTTAACTATTACAATTTTTATTATTATTGTCTTTTAATTATAATAAGTAATTTTTAACTAATATAATTTTTATTATACAAACTACGGATTGGTCCATGACTTATAGCGAAAGGTTAATAAAATGTGTAGGAAAGAGAAAACTGAACTGACAAAATCATGAACCTCTTTAGAGATAAAAGTTTATGATTGTGAACGATCTTAGAGCGCATTAATGATTAATTTGATCTAGTGAAAATATGATGCTAAATAATGAATGAGGAATAGCAAGATTGGCATGAAAATTTACCTCAAAGTCATTGCTTTGTGGTCTAATTCACTCTCAAATCTCCATCTTTTATTCTATTATTTCGTATCGAGTAATGGTTCGGATGGTTTTATAGAGTTTGAATTTCAAATATTTTGCCAATTAGAAAAATAGATATTGATGGTTTCATATTCTTACGTCATTTTGCCTTGGTTTCATAAAGAGCTAAATATCCATCATGAAATTAGGTTGAAGTTATCTTATTGCATGTGTTGATATTGTTACTATCCGAATATTAATGAAATGCACGTGATATAAGGTTGGCATTGTTGTTGACATCGGTAGGGGTCATAGACAAGGGACTTGGGTGCAGTGGGATGGCCATTGGCCAAGAGATATCTAGAAGAAATAGTTACATTACGTCATAAATATACAAACATGTTATAATATCAAGACCAATATGTTAGGTGGTTTGGATAATCATTAAACACATCTGGTTGGATCCATGATAATATATTAACTAGAAATTTAACATGAATAAAATCAACTATTTTTGTTCTGAATAAGTTATTCACTAGATCGATCTTAATTAATTACTATTGATCGTACAATTAGCTACTTATATTGATATCAAGAAATGAAATGAACAACGTTTAATTTCCCAGTTAACGTTTGTTTTCATAGTGATAAGTTGTATGGTTGGCTTCTATTCAGTATGTGGCTTAATCTTCCGTCAAATTATTGATATCTTGTTCTTTTGATGTACCGACATGCATTTTTTGTAAACAAAAAAGTGTGCATTAAAATTGAATAGCAACATGGACTTTGTTTTTCAGGTAATGGTTTAAACTGAAGATTTAATGGACCAAATCGAATCGAATCCTAAATAAAAAGACTGTTTATTTGGATTTTAGGAGGGTAGATGTCGGTTGGTACATGT